GCAGAATACTGGGGAAAAATCTTTAAATGTGTCATTAAACACAGAGATCATTTTCCTTAGCATATTCCTAGTGCAGTGTATGTGCTGCTAAGAAATGTGACATATTTGAAATGTTTACTTAAGAAGTATCACAAGAATTTGTGTACTCATGTACAGAAAAAATGGAAGGGGGAGTTTAATACTGGTTGTCACTCTTCCCCACTTTCTCAGTGTAATACTCCAGATGAATTTCCTCCACTCACGCCATGTGCCTGCACGGGTTCCACTAAGGTCTGTAGCATTTTACAAGAGTGCTAAGTCCATACAGAAAAATCCATTGCAAGGACCAGGCATAAAAGATATAAGCATGTAATTAATTTTATGAATGCAAATAGTCTACTGACTTTCTGGGAGACCACTTGCTCATTGTGGTGAGTACAGTAAGCATGTCAGTAAAGCTTTTCAAGTCTGAGCTTTTTGACTATAAAATCCTTGGTATTTATGTAAATATGTATTGAGCACAATACATTTCAATCCCAATGGAACTCTCTGGGTACCCATATGGTCATCCACACTATTAATGTTTTTATCCTTTTGTTGGAAGTGTTGTTCTCTTCAGAATTAACAAGATAACTGGGTCACTTGCAAGAAATGCCAGAAGTTGGTTCTGGCAATTATTTTGTTTTCCTTTTCATCTTTGCCCAGAATTAGCTATTCAATTAAGAATAACTTAATTACAGAACAAATATGTGATGGGGAGGGGGGGATGTCTGTAGAATTGGAGCATGAAGAGTACTTCACACTTGGAATATGCCGACTTTAATTTGCAATACAGGCCAAAAGAGAAATTTATCTTTTCATTGATGAACTCTTTTTTGTGTAGAACAATTAGGTAATTCCTTTGTACCATGTATAGACCACAAGTAGCACAAAGATCAATGAGATCTTCATGGGTTTTTATGAGGCCAAAAGTTGTATTTGTAACTGCTGACTGACAAGAAAAAGGATTTTCAGCAATGTTTGCAAGGCAAGATCAGACAAAGTAACCTAAACAACCAAGCTGATAATCAAATATTCATCACAAATGCTGGGGCAAGGAAGGCATTCACTTTGGGTCAGGGATATAAACTGCACAGATAAATGCTTTTCCATGGAGTAGACAACTGTGAGAAACAAAATGAATCATTTAAGTTATTCTTGAAAAATAAAGCACCCTCTGCAGAAATCTCACAGATTTTCGTCATGTAGTTTTCCCAGGCTCAATTATTGTTTTATCTCAGCAATGAAAACAAGATTTCCCTCTATTTACTGCCTTCAAATTCTTTGCACATCTCCATGCTGAGTCATGAAATGTGTTTCTGTAATATATTTCATATGGCAAGCAGAGGCTCATCAATTCCATCTTTGCAGATTTCCTTAAGAACGCATTTTGAAGGGCTCCAAGAAACAATTTGCATTAAGGGAATATTGAAAGTTCCATTCTGCCTCGCTCAGTAATGCCAAGTAACCCTTCCTGTATGATGGGTCCCCTGATTCCCTGCAAGGAACAGAATCTTCCTCCAAGGCTGAGCCAACCATCTATGGCAAAAGCCACTGTGGGCCATCTAAGTCTAGAGACCCCACCAAGCTAATGCACCCCAAGCCCCTAGCTCTTATCCTAACCATGTTGTGTCTACAGCTGAAGTGACCCTGTCCTCATCCATCACACTCATTTGATGAAGAAGCCATCTGCATGAGTCCTCTGAGAGACTCAGTCATGGCCTTATCTGTAGCTCAGCCACCACTCATGCTACCACACAGTTCCAACCCTCAATGTAAGTGAGTGCCTTTTTGCGCTGCTGAGAAATGCATTCCTTGGCCTGCAGGTCTTGCAGATGCAGAAGCCAAGAGCACACACCTGGGGTTGGTGACACTGCAGGAAAAGGGACCCAGACAGATCAGCAGCACCTCAGCCCAGGAGTTAACAGAGGCCTTTTTCACCCCTTTAACACCAGCTGAGGACCTGAGACAGAAAAAAATGTCATTTTCCTTCATTCTCAGAGAGGAACCATTGTGGACTAAACATTTTTATCAATGGTATCAATTTGCACTTAGGCGAGAAGCAAAATGCAATGAGTTTGAGCCTGCTTGCTTATAGTTTTGGAAAGGCATGAGAAATCAGAAACTCTGCTATTCAAAGAAAAAAAAAAAAAGCTGTTCCACTTCAATACTACTGCTTTGTTCCATTTCTACAAAAATATATGACCATGTCACCATGGGCTGGCAGTAAATGGGGAAATTACTGGTGCTCAAGGAAGGAACATCCTTTTACAAGACTACATTTCTTGATGGCAAGTTTCCTGATAGTTGCCATACCCCAAAATAAGTTTGCATTGGGAATAAGAAATGTTCTTAGGGATATTGCTGCCAGGGACCATTGAGTCGTACAGTTTTCAAGAAAGGTTCATCATGGAACTGCACATTCAGATGGCAAAAGCTGTTCTCACAAAGAGCCTGAAGCATTTATATCACTCCTCTTGACCTTTTTTTCACTGCTTTTACTTACCATGCTTCTTCCTGATTTAATGCACATGTGGATGAAAAGCATCCTGATTATCTGATTTCTTTTGCTATTGCCTCCTTACAGGTATACTGGTAACTCTGCACGTTCATTTAACAATGTCTTGATACCTTTCCTAAGTACTGTTGATCCTTGATGGCTGAACTTAATTGCAGGAGACACCTGGCACCATTAGTTTTGAATTTGTAGTTTGAGAATTCACCTACAAAAACAATTCTGATTGCCACAGGAATTGGTCCACCTCTTTGCCACATAAACAAAAATGCAACTGATCTATGCAGCAGGGGGAGATTCTTAAAGCAAAAACTTTGGGTAGGACCTTGCTGCTGGATCATAGCCTGCCCCCAGTTACTCTTCCCCTTGCAGGGTGTATTCCCTCAAATTATATTGGGGGGTGGTGGGAGGATCTTCCCCACATTTACTCACCAGCAAAACATGGATTGTAAATAATGTTCCCCTGACTTTGCTGAGAATAACTTGTTGTTTAGAACATGCCAAGAACATGTGGGCATACTTATGAGTGGAGGGCTTCAGCCTTCTTTCCCCCGGTGTAGAGTGTTGGAGGTTTGGAGCAAGGCATCACAGGACAAAGAGAGGCAAGCCCTGCACGCATAGTTCTTGGACTCCTGTGGCTGTGGGCATCCAGCAGGGATTGTGAGCCATGTCCCTGCCTCTCACAAACAGCTGCCAACTTCTTCATGAAGTGACAGACACACAGAGATTACTTTGGTCCTTCTGGACTTGTACTGCTTAGGATAAATCCCCATTCTGTAGCTTTGCAGGCAATAAACCCTAGCATATTATGTAGCCAGTGTCTAAACAACCAGCAGTTCTGAACATTGCTCTGCTTAGAAGGATTTTACCATGTTCTGTGCTTATAGTTTTGACTTTCTTTGTCGTATCTATTCAGGCCTCGGTTGTAAACTTTTTCAAGGTAAAGGACCCATTATTTTGCTACACTTCACAGCTGTATAGGCTAGTGGCACTACGTGGTCACTTCTGGGCTTTATACTTGGAAACATTATTTTGTGTAGAAATTAGTCTTAGATGGTCATTTTATCTCCACTCGCCCTGTGGACATCATTTCCAGACTTACACTGCTGTTTTCAAATTGCAGACAATTTTCAGATTATTTCTTGAATTTCTGTTTCAGTAGATTTCTAAGTGTATCCAGTTCTCCAGTTGTAACAGCCTTTATGCTGGGGAATTCACAACCACACTCTTCTCTGTTAAAAACATTTCATTGTCTCGGTCTTTACTTTAAAGTCATGCAACTGTCTAAAATACTTTTTATTATTTTGAACTCCTTCAAAGATTTCAGCTGGAAATATTTGACAGACATCTTCTGGTACATTTATTTCCACACGATAAAACAATTAACTAAGCCTAAACACCTACATGTAGAACAGCAGTAAGAGGAAGGGTGAACTACTGGCTTAAGACTCAGAGCTGCATGTGCCTTTCCTAATTATTCTGTTTGTCATGAAAAAATAAGTGTTCTTTAAAGGAGCAGCAAAAATACTGGACCAACAGAGGATGTATGGAGTGTTTTGACAGATCTTGTGTCCAGCACTAGATCATTAAGTTCAGCAAAATGGTGAAGGAAAGGTTTGCTATAATACATAGCCTGGAGTGAGGTCACAACTAAACTGACCAAGACAAGTCAAGGCCCTAGAGTGATGAGAAAGTATCTTCTGATAGAGGTCATTATTCCTTTGCCTAACCAGGTCTTTAAGGACTGTGAAAAAAAAAAAATGTGTTACCATTACTTGCTTGGACATACAGTATGTGGCCATCAGCACTGTGAAACATTTTGTGGGTTATAAAATAATTAACTGACCATTCAAATTCTAGAAATGTTGCATTTGTAGCAGCAATCAGTTCCTCAGAGAGGAGGCAACAGAGTGTGAAACCTGAATTCAAGCAACAGAGAGGCTGAGAGAATAATTAAAGCCAGAAATAATTTGGAGCTTCCAGAAATTATTCTCAAGTTTTGCAATATAGCAATAATATCTGTATTTATGTAGACATGTGTGCATGGACGTGTGTGTAATGACAATGGCATAGTTTCCAAACAGAAAGACAGTTGCCAAATATTGCTCTCCAGCTATCATAATTTTCCAGAGTGAACTGTTTTTAAATATTCTCTAAGGACTTCTGATCATAAATATTTCTAAAAAGTATGCACTTAATTAATGCCAATTAATATCATAAAGCAACCCTACAGCTAAATTAGCAAAGAACTCATGCTTATTGACTAAACCCTGATATGACTTGTACCTAAGGCTTATATGGTCTTCAGCTTATATGGTAATAGTATTTCTGTTTTCAAAAGTTGTGCATCCTGATCTTACATTTTTATATAGAGGATTAAATACTTTATAGTATATTTGTCTATTGAGAAAACTCATTTGCCTTGAGGAAAAAGGCATCCTCTTATGAATTTCCTTTAACTTTACAGGATACTGTATTTCTGAGAACCAGGATCTCACCTGGACCTCTCAAAGGACTACACAGAGGACCTACTTTATTATCAAGGGACCCAAGTTACTGTGTTTGGACTTGTAAGTCAGTCCTAGTATACAGATGTGGACTTCAGGTAGAATGAGCAATGCAAAGAATTTGTTTGGACTTGGCGTCTCCTTGTATTTTTGGGGACTGATGGACCTTACTACAACTGTGCTGTCAGGAAGTGCCAGGCCCCTCACTGAAGGGCAAGAAGACAACCTGTCAGACAAGCTGCATCAGCGTATGAAGAGGAGCTGGGTGTGGAACCAGTTTTTTGTTCTGGAGGAATACACAGGAACTGACCCTCTCTACGTTGGGAAGGTAAGATCCACAGTGGGAGGATGTCTGTAAGAGTGTGTGTATCCGTGTGTGTATCCATCTGTGTATCTGCAGATTGTGGTGAAACACGGAATGTTTCCTCAAGTGCCTTTGCCTTCTTTCTGGCAGTGACTTCACTCGCATTAATTTCACTTCTGCTCCCAAGAGCTTTTGCCCCATGTCACCTTTGTTTAGGAAGAATTGCTGTTTCAAGGGGCTGTCAATATATTTGCCTATTTCAAAGAGATCTGCTGCATCAATCATCATCTGCAATTTGAGGTAGTGTTAGAAAATCTGCAGCAATTTTTCCAGGGACTCCTACAATGTCAAGGCAAAGCAAGGTTATATTGACATATAAGGATTAGGAAAGAAAGGAAGAGTTTGTGATCATGCTTCTCTCCATGATCAAGTCAGCTAGAAGCTGCAATTCAAAATCAAATTAAATAGCCTGTTTCCCTTGAAAACTGACATTTTAGTTTTTGTTTTCTGTAAAATTCAGGGTCAGAGTATCTTCTGGCTTACCACATTGTGACTGCAGTTAATTTTGTGGACTACAAAGAAGTCTCTCCAGATGCAGAAGGGTAGATGGACACCTCGTTAAATCCAACTATAAAGGGTCTTATTTTTGGATCCCTTATGCCCCAAGAACCTATCCATCAGTACAGATATGTGTAAAATATATTCCTGAGCTTGTCCTATACATATACTTGGTAATATTTTGCATTTACTTTTCTGTGTCTTATTGAGGAAGAAGCTCATGGAAATCAGACCAGTGGCGTCTGTCACAATCTGTCTCACTACAACCATCCTCCTTTTTCATATTTAAAGACCCTGAATCGCTGACCCTGTATTGACCCTGTTATTCAAAGTTTTATAGTCAGCATCAAGTTTGCTTCTCTTCTACACCAAGGTGACAAATCTGGACAACAAAGTGGAGAGAATTAATGTGCTTAAGTGTTTGAACAATACAATCAAGATTTACATGCCTAGAATATCAGATACAGCTATGACAAGTGGAGACTACACATAGGTATATATGAAAAAATAACTTAGGATGTCAGGAAATAATTCCTTCACACTTCATTGCTTATTCTTTCATGAGATATAGGCTCCATTTTTCTTTCCAAGCTATCCATCTGCAGGAAGAAAAAAATATTACATATCCAGAGGCCTAGTTTGTACTCATATTTATCATTCTACACCCCTATAGAGCTAAACTGTGCTCTCGGTCACACCAATATAAATCAAAATGGATCTGCGGGCTTCAGAAGACCTCCTCCTGATTTATCCCTGCATGACTGACAGCAAGATGTCCTCTCCTTCCTCCCACAGCAATGGCATTACTAGTAATTGCCTCCAGATGAGACCTCATTAGTCTTCATTCATCTGTGCACCTAGCTTTTCAGGTCTTGAGATATCTATTGATTAAAAAAATTAATATTTGTTTTCAGGCAATTCCCAGCTTCGGAAGAAGGGCCAGACTTATTATTTCACATTCTCTGTTACATCTGAAATTACTTCAGGCTTCCACTTGTGAGTTAAATCTTAGGTAAAACACATATGGGGAGAAACCAGCTCATCTTTTAGACCTGCTGTTGTCATTAGGAGCATACACATTTGGCACAGTCAGTAATGCTCCTGAGCTCGCCACCGCTCAGCTTTGCCCAAGGGAAGGACAACAAGACGGCTCCTCATGGCCTGTGCCCACTTCTCTGAAGCCCAAGCTGCCACCAGGGAGCCTCTCCAAGACTGCCTGGGCGCTGGCTGTGCTCACAGTGGGGTGCACAAGGGCTAATTAGCACCCATGGTTAACAGGCCCAATTAGTCCCATCACTGCTGAGCTGACAGGGCTGGATTCCTCAGAAGTACTCCTAACTCAGCAGTGCTCCGTGTCGTCCCGGCACCAGGGAGCTCTGCTGGCAGAAGGAGCCTCTGGGGCTCCCACATTCCATGGTCTCCCGCGCCCAGTGGGGTGGGATGGGGGCTGTGGGGCTCCGTGAGGCAGAGGGTTCCCCTCGCCTCGCCCTGCCAGAGGCACAGGAGCTCCAAACAATTCAGCCTCCCACAATTCATCGCCCGTCTGCATTTGCGCTGCCTGAGTCTTAGGGATCCTTAGGAAAGGGGTCAGCAGGGAATAGACTGTGGGGTGAATTAATTGTTCTGGCAGGCCAGAAATTTTTCAGCCCGAGTCACTCCAGGCTGCCTCAAAAATAGCTCTGTAAAGGCTAGCACAGAGTGGGGCGGAGGAGCAACAGGGCTTTCAGTCTGCTGCTGGCTGCTCACACCAGCCCTCCAAAATAGCTCTGGGTCCCATACCAGGCCAGGCAGGGCGTCTTCTAACTGATATCACCCACAACATCCTGAAACATCCTTATAGCCAGGCCTTGGTTTTATCCCTGTGCTCTCTCCAAGCCCCTGTCAGAAGGAGAAAAATGCATAGCAAAGAGGTGGTTGTACAGCTGGTTCTGGCTGGTTCTGTATGACTGGAACAACCAAAAAATCACCTTGGCTTGAACAACAGGTCCAGGTTTGCCTAATATGATTTCCAAGGCCACTATGGTTTTGTGAACTTCCCTAGACAACTGTTAAGGCAAGGTGCAAAATATGTTCTGGACAGGGAAATGAAAGAAACTTCCTGATGTGAAGTCAGTACAATTTTTGCTTTTCTCCAGTGCTCATGACAGTGATTTAAAGTACTTCAGCTTCAGAGGGTTCCTGGTCCTGTCACAGATAAATACAAGGCTTCCGTTTTCCTAGAGGTGGCCATTATTGGCTAATAGGATGAACCAGGGAAACCAAAGCCCCTTCATTTGCTACAGCAGGTATTTTCCACATTCAATGAGCAGCCTGCACTGTGCCAGTAATTGAACTGGGGACACACTTCACCATTTTGCCATGTTGGAGACTCCCTAACCCTGTTTCAAAGAAGCATTTGAATCACAGCAGCTGAATAAATGAATAAAATGAAACCTCTCTGCAGACTATCAATGTACATCAAGCACACTCACTCATGCATCCTTACAAAAATCCCCTGCAGGTGCTGCCTCCCTGGAAGCAGAGAGGGGAGAAGCACATCAAGGATGGAGTCACACACTGCTTAGCAGAGCAGTGTGGGTTCTCCCCTGAGCTGCTCACTGCAGCAGTGCTCTCTTCCACATGCCCTTTACAAGGAAATGTGTCATTCCAATGCAGATGTAACATCCTTATTTTTTTTTTTTTTGTACTATTCTCATCAAAAGAAGCAACAGTGGTTGACACAGTTAAAAATTTCTCAGGAGTTATCAGCTTTATTGCTCTAATAACCCATTCCTTAATATGGAGGAGAAAGTAAAAATTCATTCCTCCCACTCTGTATCAACCACACGGCAGCACAATTTATTGCACCACCTATAAAACAGAACCAGCTTAAAACTAGATCACCTTTCCAACACAGTGACTTTTACACTCCAAACTACAGCATCCTGATATTAGGTTAGGTGTGAACTTCAGTCCCTTCAGACACCAAATTCTTTCAGATTTATTGCAGTCTGGCAGTGTTATGTCTTTTTGTCTTTTACACTCTTTTTTGCTTTGTCTTGAACGAGCGGGTTATACAAGAAGCTGCAAAAGTGCTGCTAGCATTTGTTACTGCCTAGCCTTGGTTGAGACTCAATGTTTCTAACAAATTACAGCTAGAGATCCTCTTGTACTCCCAAATTCTTAATAACATGCCATGTTCATTCCTTGTTTGCTCCCTTCATAACTGCGTTTATTCCAAATAGGGCTTTGGACAGAAAATGTAATTTAATCCATGAGTTTGATTCATTATTTGCTTCTAAGTATTCTGAAAATTCCTGAACACCTACTGCTACTTTAAAAAAATGCTTCTGTTTTCTTTCTCTTTTCCTTCTTCTTTTTCTCATTCTTCTTCATTTTCTTTTCCTGTTCCTGTTCCCTTTTTCTTTTCCTATTTTCTTTTTTCCTTGTTTTTCATCTCTTTTTCATTTTTCTCTTTCTTTTCCGTTTCATTTTTGTCTTTTGACTTTGAATTTGACTTTGCTTTCCTCTTTCTCTTTTTTTTTTCTCTTTTCCTTATTTATTGAGGACTTGTTGGTGTTCCAAAACACATTTTCCTCTATCAGGCCCAGCTCTAATTCCCCAATCAGGTCTAACATCTGTATCTGTCTCAGCAGCTGCATTCTTTCACTGGAGCATTAATGCTCTAGAACAAATGCCCAAGATGTAGCTTAGTGGTTCTGAATCAATTTGAAAAGCTATAATAGTGTCCTCCTTCTGGAAGTATCCTGTTTACTAGCTCCTACAGTGATAATCTCTGAGTTATGGGTGTTTACTGTAAGTAATGACAACAACTGTCTTTTTTTAAATTAATCACAAGAGGGTGTTTCCTGAAGATACACCAGTTTGCAGTCCTGGCACCTGCATGTGAATTAATACACATGGCAGCCATCTAAATTTAACTGTTTACCACTGCCAAATTTTTCTGGGCTTGTTCTTCCACCATTCAGTTAATACATCGCCTGAGAGCTGCCAGCTTTTCTCCAAAATATCGATGTTTCTCAGATGCAGTGGCCACTGCAGGGATGGAGGCAGAGGAGGAGGAAGTGAAATACCAGTGACCTGAAGTGAAATACCAGTTGTCACAACCTGCACCTTCAGCTCCTGCAGCCACATTGCAGCACTGCTGCCCTTAACGCTTGCT